TCCTAACTTGTGCTCCAAAGGGTGATGGGAGTCAAACTGCAAATACTCTTGTGTGAAAAGAAACCGTCCATCATTAAACAGGGGTGGAGCCTCCGGGTTCAACTGTCCCCCTCTTACAATGCTGTGATTGCTAGTATCACTCAGCCCTCTGTGAACAGTAAACAGCCATCAGTGTGCTAATGATCCATTGTTAGGCTGATGGTCCTTCTTGACCATGTGAGCAGCTGGTTTTGGTTGTCAGCAGCAAACTGGTTGATCCACTCTGAGAAGGTTCTATTTAAGAGACTGAGCTGAAAACAGCTCCTCAGACTGAAGAAGTCTCTCGGATGAGAGACGAAACGTTTCTACATTTTTTTGTTGTTTTGCTTTGTTTTGTTTTTTTTAATGTCCAGAGGACCAGATTTAACTTTTTTTAGATTTTTCTACCTGGATTATTGAGCATGCATCAGGATAAATAAAAAGTAAGACACGTTCTCCATCACGTCATGAATCAGAGAACAAGCAGCAGCTTCAGCTCCAGAGAGACTGACGTTACGTTTTCTCTCTTGAAACAGAACAAATGTAGAATATTGTAGAGACTCACCTGCAACACATGAAGAGTTGGATCAGCTGTTCAGCTCCTTCCTCCTCCTCGTGACTCCGACATGTTTACGTTCATCTCCGTGGTTCTCCCGTGTCGTCACTTTTCAAAGCTGCATGTTGCTCAGTTTTTATCTTTGTGAAGAGCTCCCACACTTTGGAGGACTTGTGTCGAACAGTTTTCGGTCATTTGTAAAATTAATTTAATTTCCTTTGAAAACACCGACTCTGCTCTGCTTCCTCCTCCCCCCTCGCTCTGTTCAGCTCACGCTGCAGAGTTGTTGTTTTTTACTTTATTCAGTCAGTCAGCATCGACAATGAACTGCAGCTGAACTAAACGGCTCCGCAGCGCCGTGACTGATGTTTAATCGCGCGACACAACAAATCGATAATGAAATTTGTTGCCAACACTTTTAATAATCGGTTTTTATCAATTTTATCGATTCGTTGTTGCAGCCCTAAAAATACATACATTTCTAGTGTAGTTGAAAATTAAATGGGTGACTGTTATATAAAAATATCCTCTATTCATTTTACTCAAAGAAGCCACACTCGATGACGAGAAGATTTTTGACCAGTTTTACTTTTTTAAATGTATTTATTCATTCAACCTGTGTTTAGACAGGTTAATCCCATGGCACTTGCAAGGACAGTGTTTCACAACAGGTTACACAGAACGCATGGACTTGGAGACTATGAGAATGTGCCACGGACAGTGTGCTAGGCTTGTTTTCATATGCTTATCAGCTCCCAGACAGACTGGTGTCCTTGGACTGCCAGCTGCACATGCAGGATCAAATCATCTGCTCTCTCTGAGAGAGAAATAACTCTCAGCTAACTCAAACACATGGCTCATGGGCACTGAACATTCTCAGCCATAGTAGTAAAAACATCCATACACCTTGACCAAAATTCCCTGACAATGGTAGCTTTAGCTCTCTAGAATATAGAAAGTTTCATTAAAGTTTTCAAATGTCCATGATAGTCATTGACTGAACAAAACATTTACTTTGCATCATTATATGCACATGCTCAAACATTCTGAGAGATGTTTGACCCTGTGACTCACACAAGGAGCCCAACAAGCTCCTGATAACATTTCTAGGCTTTTTATTTATTTATTTGAAAGCCCTGCCCATTTTAGCGCTTCGTATTGGGACATTTGTTGACGTTCATTTCAGCCAAAGCGCGAGAGGCCGATAGTTCCTTCTTTTGGTCCAACGTTGTGAGAAAACTAAAACTGCGTGAAGGACAACCAGCAGAAATGGAAAGCCTGAAGAAGATGGTCTTAAAAAGATGTCAATGATTACATAGAGTGGTTATGAATAGTTTTTAAGACTTTTTCATTGCTTAAACTAAACAGGAAACGTCTGCTTCTCAGAAACCTGTGCTAAAAAGATCTGTTTGACCTGGAGACTAACCGTTTCAGACTTCTGCTGACCGTTTACACAGCTGACGCTCGTTTTCAGGACAGAAACCGATCGTAAGAACTGCTTTAGAATGAATCAGCGTTGTTGATGGGGTTCTAACCAGTCCCCACATAATTCAGGCTGATGATGTGTTTAGGTCACTGGATTTATTTTTGGACCGTCAAGAGAAAGAGAGATTCTTCTTCCCCCTACACTAGACTTATTGCACCCGCTACATGAGCCCACCCCACTCCACTTTTAGCCCATGCTCCGATGAGGGGAGCGAGGCCTCGTGGTTGGTTGGACGCTTCTATCCTGTTGCTGTCTGTTTAAATGTTGCTTCACATTCCCACCCTGCAGTCACTCCGTCACTCGATTGCGTTCGATTGAGCAGCTGCTCCGTCAGTCAAAGTGGAGAAAGTGGACACTCAGAGAATCAGATCAAACCAGCAGGAGAATTATTTTATAGGTGGAGGTGCCGGATTGACCTGCTACCGATGCCAAAATGACTCATGACTAGTAAGTTTTCTTTTTTCAACTCATTGTGAATCAATTGAGATGTAGGAGTCAAAATTAACACCAGTTTACTACTTAACAACAAACTTTATTGTTTAAACGTCACCCCCCCAGTATTAAAATGTCTAGAGTTAAAATGTCTAAAGACATGCTCTGATGGGTCCAAGGAGGAGGATTTCTGTTTAGCAGACGTTCACTTTTTCTGATTATTCTTTTACCTTTCTGGACCATTGCTCGTCTCCTCAGCCTCTCTGCTCTGTGATGAAATATAAAGCACTTCTGCTTTTAGTGCCTTCCACCTCTTCATTCATTATTCTGGACCTCGGTCTAAAAACAACCCTTTTCATGGACGAGAAGCTTTTACATTTATAGAACTGCCATGCGGCGTCCAGTCAGATGTGCTTTCCAGCTTAGTTACAATTTACAATTCATCTGTCTTTCAGGTGATGGGGCACTTTTCTCCTTCACTACTTCTGTAGTGGCTTTTTAAATTTCTGAATGAACTTGTGAAACATAAAAAAGATTCACTTAATGAAAAAAAGTTCTTTGCAGGCTTGCTCTTTTTGTCTTTTTCATGAAGAGACACGGTGATGGTATTTTTGGGGGAATTATAGTTTCCTTCTGTTAGTGCAAACATCTAGTAGAAAAAGATTTTTATACCAATTCAATTCAGTTCAATTCAGTTTATTTATATTAGGGATGGGGCCGATCCAGTATCAGTATGGGCCTCCGATACCAGCAAAATTTACGTATCGGATTTTTCCGATCCAACCCGCATTGATTTCCGATCCATGATGCACGTTGGCTTCAAACTATGGAATGGATTTCCTGAACGGAGGCATGTCTCATGAACCCAGAGTAATAAGACCCGCCTCACATTCAGGAAATCCAGTTCATAGTTTGCAGCCAGCTACAACGTGAGGACTGTTAGCAGCACTGTGGCTAACAGCTAACAAACTTTTCATCTAAACATGTCGCTGTGTGGAAGTATTTTACACTAGAAACACCACAAAACAAGACAGCAACGTGCACTGTCTGCAGAGCCACAGCGCCACATTAAACCACATTAAAGTTAAGCCTCCAGTATACTGCCGCGTATGTCCGTTCACGCATACGTACGCCTGTACGGTACGCAGAGGGTTCGGACATGATACTCCAGCGTACACCCCGAGCAGCTGCAGAGCAGCTTCACAGACGAGGGGCGTTTACCTTCGGGACAAATTGAGGTCGCCGATTGGTCATTTGCTGACACGCCTACTGGATTGATTGACAGGTTGGAAAAAAGAAAAAAAAAGCGAGCGCTGACAGCCTCCGCCACAGCAGTGTTCTGTGTTTATATGTTGTTAATAAAAAGATCTTAAAAAAAAAAAATATGTAACAGAGAGCTGGCTCTACAGCCCACACATCAGACCAGCCCACCAGGAAACCTCCAGACCCTCCCGCAGCCACGCTGGACCTGAGTTTTATTCGCTCGTGACAAATTCCTCCATTTCTCACCATTTCAGTCATGGCATCAACGGAGGAGGAAGAGATCACTGCCTCTTGGCAAAAGAACAAAAGAAAAGGCCAGATCAGGGATGAAGAAGGGGAATTTAATACATTGGTGTCGCATACAAAACAGTCCCTCGCTGGGCAGTTTATTGTGCGACACCGCGTACGCGTATGCGGTTGTAAAAATTTGAGCTTTGCACGGAGGTTACGCTGGGGGGTACACGCGTACCTCCGCATACGTATGTGCGTACCTCTGTGTATGGATGTACGCGGCAGTATACTGGGGGCTTTAGTTTTACGATGGACATTCGAGCTCAACCATTCAGCCACGCTCAGTCTGCCCGTCTCTGAAGAGGGGCAGACTGAGAGCCTCTGACCGAAATCAGACTGCCTTCTCTGGACTGAACAAAAATAACAGACCACTGAAGCCACGGAGCTCGAATGTTTACCGTGAAGTTGTTAAACTTTATCATAATTAATGACCAACCACATGAAGAGAACGAAGGTTCTATTTCGTATAGGCTTTGCCCTTTAAGGCTGTCGCTGATGGGTTTATCCCGATATGCGAAGCATTGCACTGAAAAATTTAGTCCATGCCCACCTGCTGTGTGGGCCCCACCCGGTCCGTATAAATTACGTTAAGAGCGGGTAATCGGCTCCCATTTTTCTTCAGCGAGCTAATAGCACTGTCAGAAGAACGAACAAAGAAAGTTGTGTAGATGACCAACCTTTGTTAAGAATGCTTGGCCCGTCACGTCGACCTCCGGTCGTCTCGGTGAGCTCTCCTCCCCGAGGAGAAGCTAATGAGCAGTCTTGTTTCAAGGTAAGTGCCGAGGAGTATTTCTCAGTGACAGGTCGCTACACGCTGGACAACACCATCTTGTAATTTTCTTCTTATCGCCGACCCTCGGAGCGAATCGGATAGTTCCTCTGGGACAGGTGGCGTCAGCTGCAGCCCCGCTGCTCATTCCCTCCTGGAGAGCGTAGTGTCGGTGGAGGGGGGCTGAGCGAATGCTCACCTCATCCCACCTCGTTTCGCATCGGCGATCACACCGCTCCCGGCCGATGGCGCCCTCTGGGGTTGCCCAGCATAACCCAGGAGCGGCTGACATGAAGGGACCCTTTTTTTACGTCCCGCGCCTTATCTGCCATATCGGATGATCCGGCGGGAAGGTTTTTTCTGGGCTCCACCCTGGCTCACCGTCCTGATCCCATCTGGCCTTGGTTCCCAACAGGACGTCCTACGAGACGAGGCCACAGCCGGTTTCCTGGTAGATTGGGGGGCCGGTTTCCACAGTCCGCGCCCATCACCAGAGCAGAGGGGTTTCACCGAGTGGAAATTCCCTCAGCCGAGCCTGACGGAGACTTTTCTCAGAGCAGGATGTCCAGGGTGGACCAGCGTCCCACGCCTCCGGTTATCGTAACCCAGACGGTGACACCGCTATCCAACCGAGCTCACCACCATGCGTTTCAGACGGCCACAGTGAACAACACATTACGCTGTTGGCGTACACATTCAGAGGCGGGAGGAGACGTACGCTCTGTCTGCAGGGCAGCTGACGTCATCCCCAACCGGTGCGTCTCTTTGCCGTCTGCCGGCCCGCATCGCAGCCGGAGGACGGAGTTTTCAGCGTTTCCCTGAGATCGCCAACAGATGGCGCTCTAGGACAACAAAGGCCCCCTCCCTTTCGGTTACAAATCTCGTTTAAAAACTCATTACTATTCAGTAGCTTTCAACACCAGATCATATTTGTTTTGATCCTGTATGCTCCACACTGGTTAGTTGTCATTATCTGCATCGTTTTTATGTCTATATTCTGATTTATCTCATTTTGTATATTGCTTTGTGTGTTACCTGTTGTTCTGTCTGTACAGCACTTTGGTTGGACTTGTAGCTGTTTTAAGTGCTCTATAAATAAAATGGTATGGTATGGTGTG